CCCCAAAACCCCAAAACCCCAAAACCCCAAGACTTTCAGGCACAACTGAAATTTACTGTTCAAGTAAGTTGTTCTGGAGCAGTCCGTGCTCTGTGAGCAAGGAGTTAAGGGTAGATTTTAGTGACTGCATTTCTGAGTGGACTTGGACTTGTTGGGATTTGTAGGTGTGCAGGTGGAAAGAGGAGGTGGTCTGGATTTGAGGTGAGAAGGAGGGAGAAGAGGGGTTGGGGTGGGAGAAGGGGATTTAGGAAATTAGATTTTTGGGGGTTTTAGGAGGTTAGGTTAAGTTGAGTTATTGAGATTGTAGTGAGTTTTTAGGATTTTGAGTAGGGTACAGAGTATGAAAATGATGAATTTATAAAGTTCTCTTGGGAAGGTTTGGTAAATTAGAAATTTTTGTGCTTACAATCTTTTGCTTCAATTGTTGATTCTTGGACTCGAGATTGTTGATTTTCTGTGATTGTTTCTTTTTCTTTTCCTTCAGCCTATACAGGTTATTAGAAGATACTGTTTTATCTTTTCATGCCTCTTTATACAAGACACTGAATATGCTTGAGATTTCTGAGCAAGATCTGATATTTCTCTAAACAAGATAGTTTGAAAGTTATCTTTAAAAGACCTAAGTTGACCAAAAAGACTCTTTATAGAATAAAATAAGAGCATCTGAGAAAGCTTGTGGTCACAAACTTTCCTTTTGAAAATAATTGACATTTACTTCTCTTTGTCTTTTAACTTTTCTTTCAAAATTTTCATTTTAGATTTTGTATCCTCAAGTTTATTGACTTGTTTCTTCAAACTAGCATTTTCTTTGTCTTTTTGCTCTATATTTTATCGTGAAGAGAATCAGCCAAATTTTAGCATACCATTAGTGGATTCAAGATGCCCAATTGTCTCCCTTTGAGATTTATTTTGTTCTTCAAGCCTGCAAATGTTATGAGAAAATACTTCTTGATTGAGTCCTGAGATTTATTGACTGTAACGGTGAGTTCTTCCGATTTCTTAATAAATTCCTTTTTCTTTCTATAATACAAAATCAATTAATAATGATGACAGCTTAGTTTAGAAATATCTGTGGGTTGGGTTAAGTCATATGTTTGAGTCTTATTATAAAAACTAAAATCTGCTTCATTATTCTAATCACAAAGCACAAATTCCTACTCTTGGCTCTTATTTAATTCTTTCGTTAATCTTTCCTTCTCAGATTCAGCCTTTCCACACTTTCTTGTCAGCTCTCTAACCTTATTTTGTTCGCTAAGGATCTCCTTATCCTTCTTTTCCAAGGCATCATCCTTCTTCCTTACCAGCCCTTCAAGCTCTGCTACTTTACATTGTGCTTCTTTATTCTCACCTTGTAATTTCTCCTTGTCTTTCTTCAGGTTATTAAGTTCTTGCTCTTGGGCTTCATTTTGCTTCTGTAGCTTGTTATATTCTTCTTGTAATTCATCAAATTTTTGTTTGTGAAGAAGAGTTTGTTCCTCTAAATCTTTCATTTTGGCGTCTGAGTATTTCATACTTTTGTTCGAAGCAAGAAGAGTCTCTTTCTCTTCTTGTAGTTTCTTGTTTAAATTATTGAGATCTTTATTCTCTTCTGAAAGTTTTGAATTTTCTGTAGTTAGTTTGGCTATTTTTAGATCAGACTCATTCTTCTGGTTCTTAAGTTTAGTGGCTAGTTCATCATTCTTATTCTTAAGCTCTGATTGAGCTTTTTGATAATCTGTATTTGCTGATTTTAGAGCGGATCTTAATGCTTGTTCCTATATTGAATGATTATATTTGATCATTGGTTCAAAAGGAATTAGAAGCTATTTCAAATACATACTTCTTTTTGGAGTTTTTGGAAATTCTGGGAGTCTAGCTCTAGCTCTTTATTTCTTGCGACAAGAGCCTTATTCTCATTTAAACTTTGTTGCAATTGATTATTTGAGTTGCTCCATCTCTTGGGCATGCTTTGTCTCAGTAATCTGAATCTTGCTTTCTAGTACTTCATTCTTTTTATTTATCTGCTCTAAATGATCCTTCGTTTTCCTGATAAGCTTTATGTTCTCATCATTACTTTTATTCGAATTAATGTTGCTGTAGTTACTTGATTCAGAGGATGATAAGCTTTTTAAATTTTTATCAAGTGATCCATCAACAATGTTCGAACCTTTAGTCAAGGTTGGATCATTCTTTACATTCATTCTTTCTTGAATTTGGATAGCTTGCTCTAGCAGAATTTTCAAGCCTTCCTTATGATTTTCAAATATCTTTTGAAATGTGGGATTAAGCTCATCCCTGAATTTATTTTGTGATATCAAATCAGTAGATGCTAGAAATTTAGTTAAAATTCACTAATAAGGAAAAATGTCTTTAAAAATGAATTAACTAACAATTTCAATACGATCATAAACATAAACAAAAAAGACTTACCTTCCTTGATAAATTTTTTCATAATAATACTTCTAAGTTTCATAATTTTACCCTTATTATCATCAAAAACTGCAAAAAGTTCTTCAGAAGATGTTTCATGACCCTTATTTACCGACCCTGAGACAAAAGAAATAGTTCCATTCTTAACTTCATTCATCCCAAAAATCTGTTCCAATCCCTTTAACTTCTCTTTCACTCTCTCATTCTCCTCCTTAACCTCCTTTTCCATCTCCTCTAGTCCTATAAAAACAGTCAGTTTTTCCAAATTCTCTATAATCCCTTGCCCAACTAAATCCCTTCAGATAGAAGGAGTTTAGTTGGGTTCTGCATAAGCGGCACAAACCGAGAGTAACACTACCGGGTTCAAGGATCTACCTATAAGTAAGACCCCATGCTTAGGAGTGTTTGGGACTAGCACCCCCAACCCAAACTAGTTCGAATAGAAGAAGATTCCATCCATATGGATCGACTCCTTATTAATTAAGGCCAAGATTAAACTACCTTGTCACTAAAATATCAATTCTCTTACAAACTCTAACAATCCATCGATAATATCATATATAATCTACCATAAACCCCTTCCAACTTACTGTTCTTACTTTCCTCAGCCTGATCAGTCATTTTACTCTAAAGCACAAAATATTACACCAGTCATGACTCTATTTCTGTATGAGAGTTGGAGGAATGAGTGGGTTGAAGTAGAAGAATGGGAGATTAAAGGATGGGTGAGGGGAGGAGGAGGAAGAAATATTGGAAATGGGAAGAAGAGGAGAGGGAGTCTTACTTGTTCTTGGAGAAGTTGGAGGTTTTGCTTATTTTAATGAGAATGTAGAATAAATCTCGCAGATGAGGTCTAGATTAAGGTGAGATATTGGAGAATTAGTTTAAAATGTATGTATTAGCAGATTACTGATGCTCCTTGGAAATTTATGGCTTAAATTGAGTTGAATGGGAGTTAAGGTGTTATGGGAAATTTTATGTAGCACAAGAATTCATAAAGCTTTCTTAGCATGGGTTGGCAATATATTTACATGAAGTTTTTTAATTTGCATATCAATGGTTATTATTGTGAAATTCCTTACCATAGTCAGTAGATATAAGGTCATTCCAAAAAGACTTAAATATCAAAGACTCATCTGGTTTAACAAACTGGCTTCTGTCAGTAGTCCTTAATTTATTTAAGATCCTTGTCAATGACTTCGTTGATCACCTTTGCGACCATTTCTTGAATTAAGCTCTTTGCTCCGCTTTTCAAAGTGTTAGATTTTTGAAATTTTGTGATATTTTTAATCAAGTCTCTAATCAATTCCTCAGCTGTGGCGTTTGAATTAATTTCTATAATACCATAAAGTTTATCAACCAAAGATCATTCAAAGAAGCAGTTTGAAAACTTACTATTGCCTTTATAATCATGCAAATTTCCGTCAGATTGCTTGTACTCTTCCTTTTCTTCTTCAGAACTGTATCGTGAAGTTAGGTAAATTATTGAATAAGAGTACCTGAACTGGGATTCTCCAGAGATAATAGAAGTTCCAAACTCAGATTGTCTACTACTGCCATCGGGTATGCAGGCAAATTCATTATCCTGGTTGACAACTTCTCTACTTTCTGATTTAGACTCTTCATGTTTCTTCTGGTTTGTTTTACCTGATTGTACGGTATGAATGAGAGTCTTCCTTTGGCTTTTTGGAGAAGAGATTAAAGCACTTTCGCTTGGATCTCTAAATTTTTGAGAGGAATGGAAGAAGAGAAAGAACTGAGGGGTTAGAGAAGGAATTTTAGGATTTTGGGAAATGTTTGATAATTTTGTTTGGAAATGGAAAATATAAGATTAAAATTTTAGTTAAAGTTAAGAAAAAGCTAATAGAGAGATTCTAATCGTTCTCAGTCTGTTTATCTTAGTATCCAAGAACATAAATACAAAAAGTTAAAGATCCATCTATAAATTACTCTATTATACTCTGTGCACTCTTCAAAATATCTTCTTGCCTTCTTCCACTAAACCTACCACCTACATTCACTCAGGTTAGACATTCAAAAAATAAAATTTGAAAATATGTTAACAATTTTGGAATTTTAGGAATAAATAGCTATTTTGAAGAATTTTTTATTGGGAGAATTTTGGGGTTTTGAGGGGGAAATTGGAGTTGAGAGATTGGGGAAGGGAAGGTTTAAGGATGGATTGATTGGAAGGGGATTGGAGGGGAAGAGGATACCTTTGGTGGATTGTTCCATTTTTGTAAATTTATTATAGATATTCAGACTTAGTGGCTTATATGGGGTTTTGGGGTTTTGGGGTTTTGGGGTTTTGGGG